GTTGTGGGCCGCGGCGCCCTGCGCGGGCTGCCGGTTGCCGGTTAAGTTTACCACCACCTCCTGGAGAGACCGTATCTGTAGTAGCTGGCGGTGGCCCTGATCGACGAGCTGTTGTAACAGCGAGAAGACGTTCGGGTTGTTCCCGGCCCCCTGCTGCTGCTGCTGCTGGGGCTGTTGCTGCTGCCCCTGCTGCTGCTGTTGCATCAGCTGAGGTTGGGGGGCTCCGGGAATCATGGGCGGCGGCGGAATTGCTGCCGCCAGACCGCCGATGTTTTGTTGCTGCGGTTGGCCATGCTGGTGTCCCTGCTGCTGCTGCTGCTGCTGTTGCTGCTGCAGCTGCGGCTGCTGTTGTTGTTGTCACTGTTGCTGCTGCCTGTTTTGGTCGTCCCCGCCGCCGGCAGCCGAGTTTGGAGGACTGCCGTCCCCCGAGTTGCCTGGAATGGCCGCCGCGGCGCCCGCCGCGGCGCTCGCGCTCGCCGGTTGCCCATCATTGGCGTCCATCCCAAAATCGATCAAATCCTAGAAGGCACTCCGTGTTTGCTGCTCCTCAAAGCTGCTATCTCTGCTACTCCTCTCCTTTTCTCAAATGCACTTGCTGCTTGTCTCTCGCCCAGCGAGAGCGCAAAAACTTTCTGTCACCAGGGCTGTCTCTACTTTCCTTCGATCCCCGCTTTTCCGAATTCCAACACGCCTCCACAAACCACAGATTCAAATACGTACTGAATCTTCACGATTCCTCGACTTTTTATTTTGATAATCCAGAAATGTTCGTTCATCATCTACTGGAGGGTCTAGTCTACTTTTCAGAGAAAAAATATGAGACCGGATTTCGATAGCTCTCGGAATTCGCCAAATGGATAAACTTTGCGATTTTAAAAATATTAAGAAACGACGAAGTTATACCCCGTAAATCGATCCTGGCAGGGCATTTTGTTCACAATCGTTTGCGAGAACCAAAAGTGCGGCAAACGATTCCTCTCGAAATTCCGCGGATGGATTTATTTTCGGATTTTCCATAAAAACTAACGTTCATGAGATATCCATTATTTGCATGACGCTGTGTATGTATGCAAGTATGCATGTGATCAGAGCAGAGCAGTTGTGTGTATAATGTTTGTACAAATGCAATAGGATACATACGTACGTACGTGTTGTTTGATATGCAATTGCAGTTACAATTGGTGCAGAGCGAGAAAGCCCTGGGAGTTTCCGTGGTATGATTAGGGGGTTCCGTGTTATGATTGGGGGTTCCGTGGTGTTATTAGGGGTACCGTGGTAAGATGAGGGGGTTCCATGGATCATTTTGGCCAAAAGCGGAAGATTGACTGACGAAGTAAGGGAAATCTGCGTGTTGTGAGAAGCGGCAGAAATAAACCTTGGCCAATCAGAAAGCAGGAAGCGGACGAGCGTGTTGGTTTCTGTTTTCAGTCTACTCGCTTCGCCATGTTTACCGGGGGCGAGCGAGAGCACGTGTGCGTGTGGTGGCCAAGGGTTGTTTTCTGCCGTGACGTTTCTTTTTGGCACGTGACGTTTCATGGCGTGACGTATTGGACTGGAGAAGTTTCGCGTCTACGTTTCCCCTGTTTTCGGGGCGACATGGATTCGCATCCAAATCTCGGAAAAGGGCCTGCCGACGGGATCCGTACGTCGGTGGATGCCTCGATCGCCGACGGCGGCGGCAGCAGCGGTGGTGGCGGTGTCCCTCCCTCCGCCACCGTGGCGGGCGCGGCTGCCGCAATGGCATTGGCATTGGCAGCCCAGCAGGACCAGCAGAACCCGCCGCCGCAGCAACAGCAGCCGCCGCAGCAGCAGCCGCAACAGCAGCGGCAGCAGCAGCAGCAGACGCAGCAACTTCAACGTCAGCAGCAAGAAGCGGCAGCTGGGGCCGCAGCCGCGGCGGGGTCGGCGGTCGGCGGGGACGAGGCACGGCTGGCCGACGGCATGGCTGGTTTATCCGTGGAGGGCCTCGGTGGGTCGTCTACGATGGCCGGGGGGAACAACCTGGGTGCCGGTGCGGCGTCGGGGGCGCCGGGTGCGTTGCAGCTTGTGATGTTGCAGCAAGATAACGAGAACCTCGTTGCGAACGTATCGGCTTTGGAGCAATCCCTGCAGCAGTTGCTGAACAACCAAGGTGGGGGCGCGGGTTCGCACGTGGTCGGCCCGCATGCTGCTGATGGCGCGGGAGCCGCGGTGGCGGTCGGTGCGGGTCTTGGTGCAGCTAGCTGCTGCTCTGAGGTCGGACGCTGATCGCCAGCGTCGCTTCGCAAAAGCGGAATTCGAGAGTACTGCTTCCGCTTGGCGTGCGGGACGTTTGATGTGGGCGCTGCGTGGTAAGCGGGGAATTGACGTTCCCAACAAAGAGACCCTGCAAACGATGATGGGGGGGACCGTTACCGGCACCGACAAGACTTTGCAGCAGCTTCGGACCATGTCCGGACTGAACGTCCTCGACTTCTTTCCCGTTGGCAATTCCGGTGAGCTGTCAGTCCCGGACCACTTCGATTTGACCTGTGCTGCGATCGTTAACGTGTTGAAATTTGGTCTCTCTGCCACCTCCGCGGCCAACGCTGCAGCTCTGGCGCGCTTGCGGCCCATGGAGTAGGCCATGCTTTCGGCGCGGGGTACGCTGCGCATGCAAGCCCTCCGTCATATGGGCGACTTTCAGGGGAGGGGGTCGCGGGGGACCTTCGCCGACCTCCCCAACGATGACTTTCGTGAATGGGCATATGCGGTAATGTTGTGGATGTTACCGATGCAGAATTTGCCGGTGCCACGGGAGCCTTTCGAGCGCTTTGGCCCCCCGCCGGTTCCTCGGTTCGATGGCATCAACGGCTTCTCCATGTCCGGGAGCATTGCTCTAAGGATGTTCGGGACTGTGGGTGGTGAAGGTTCTTCTGGATCGAGTGGGGGTAAGCGGCGGCGGGGGGACTTCCGCTCTGCGGGTGGGGACTCCAAACGCCGGTCGAAAGTGTGTTTCGAATATCGCGACTCCCAAACGTTCAGGTGGGGCGACTCCTGCGTGTTCCG